CGTCATTTTTGGGCTTTTAGAGTGCATCACTAGAGTGCATTCTCAAAAAGGCTATTGGAGGGAAAGTTTGTCCTTTTGCTACTTAGAGTATTTTGCATTTTTCTTGCCAAGATTGGAAGTGAAGAGACAATTTGAAGATTATGGTGTTCTTAATTCAAGAGTCATTTCATCATTAATTTCAATTCTACAAAACTCATTTGTTGGCTAAATACTTTGAAGTGAAGAAGATTAACAGCTTGTTATTTTTGAACCAAAGTGCTATTACTTCATTATGTGAACAAATAATGGTTCTTATACTACAAGAATGTGCATTAACCATAAAGGATTTCAAATTCTAAAACTTCATTGATTACAAGGATACTTCATGCTACAATTCAAGTTCTTCCCCAATTTCAAACACACCATTCAAGGTTGTTCCAAAAAGTTCAAATCTTTCAATACTTCATGTTTTACAACTTATTGTTATTCAAGGATACATTGGTACAACTATTGAATACAATACTTCCAAAATACATCAAAATACAAGAGGAATTGTTCTAAGTTACAAAGAAAATCAAGTGAACATTTGACATAAGAGAAACTAGTTCATGATCAATTTACTTGAAGATTCAAATTGTATCAATTCCGTTGACTTTTCTCCAAGACCTTCTTCATGTTTGCCACAAATTCCGTGCATTATTTGCCTTTCCATCTCCACTTTTACTCACATGAAACAAGAGAAACAAAGTGTGATTAGTACAAGCAAGCAAGAAAGAAACATGAGCATGAACAAGGAATTTTCAAAGAGCTATTTCACAATTTCATCATTAGGGATATATGAAGGAATCAGAAGAATGTAAGGTTCATTTCAATCATGTTCACAAGTAACACAAAGGCCTCATGCATTTTAACAACCAAGTCATATATTGAATGAATAATCATAGGTCCAAAGGAACCTCTATTGCAAATTATGAATTTTGTTTTTATTCACAAAGAGAGGTGTAAAGAAGTACTTCATGCAGTAATTCAACAAAAACAACATTGCAAGTCAATCAAGCAAACAAGTTACTGCAAGTTCATGTCACAACATCATGTTACATAGCAGTAAAAATAAGGCAGTAAAAAATTTGCATCTGAGTAAAAAATTACTGCAGTAACATATCATCTTCCAAGAGCCAACAAATTACAAAATCAGATATAAAAAATTCCAACACATAATTCGATTACAGGCCTGTTAACAAATCACTCAGAGGACCCAAACATGAAACCCTAATTTCACAGTATATAAGTATCAATTGCACAGATTCCAAGGGGGAATAGTATTCACAGAACCGCAACAACAACAAACCCTAAATCTATCATCATTTTCACAACACAAATCCCTTCAGAAAAATCAAAAACAGGACGAAGAAAGAAGCTGATTTGAGACCAAAGGAAGTCAGAAAACCTTACCAGAGCAAAAATAAAGGCGGATAACTCACATATTCGAGATCACGAACTCTTCCTTATCGCTTACTCTCCTTTCTTCTTCTCTCTTTACGTTTTCTTTTTCATTTCCGCATGTTTACTTTTAATATGTGAATATCTGTTTGTTGCTGAAATTAGGGTTTTGAAAACCCCTAACAAGATCTAGGCCAGATCTTTCATTCCCTGCAAAATGAAGCTTCAGATTAGAAAAGAGGAGAGAAAGACGAAGAAGATGGTGTAAAGAAAATAAATATCAGAGCAATTTACGGTGGCTCCGCTGCGATCTTCATTGTCGCCGCTGTGAATCTTCATAGGCGCCACCGCGAACACTCATCATCATCGCCGCCCCATATCTCATATTTTCTTCTTCTGTTTTTTTTAGTTGTATGTTGTGGAATGAAGACAGAGAGAAGCGAGAGAATAAGAAGTTATGAGAGAGAGTTTTTTTTAATTATGTTTATTATTTTGATTAATCATGGTTTTGTGAGATAATGATATTTACAGAGCTAATCTGGAAGTGACACTTGTCACTGCCCAGTTAATCATTGTCACATATCTCATGCGATGCCTCCAGCGGTCTTACAGAGCACCCTCAGTCTGTAGCCTTGTGATGGTCACCAAACGTACCAGAGTTGAAAGACCATGGTGAACCTTTCTGGAAACACACCTACAGAATCAGACGAATTATCATCCAACACCCAGATTCGCATGTCTATGGTAGACTCTCAAGGACCTCCAACACAAGATCCAGTGGATCCCCTTTATTTGGGCTTTTGATGAATTAATTTCTGCACCCACCATCTACTAGACTACAAAAGACCCATTTCCTTATCTTTTTATTTTATTTATTTCAAACAAACCTTTTTGAGCTTTACACTCATTGGCTCAACGCCCCAATTGATGCTCACACACCACATTTTCTCTTTTAACCATTGTTTTCTTTATTATTATTAATTTGATTAATGTTGTTTTAAATAATTAATTAATTTGAAAAATATTATTTTATATTATAAATTAATTTATTGATTAATTATTAAATAAAATTATTTAATTTAATTAGTTATTTAATTTAATTTCAATTAAGTTGTATTGTTTGTTTATTTAGACTTTTAATCAAACTTTCGATTCGATACATCCCCATTCATAAACTTGTACCCCCATCCCCCTTGGGATTGTAATAATTTATTTACTTGCTTGTATGCTTGTATAGATTATTCATAAATTGTACACCTAACACACTCAATAAAATTGAATCCAATTCTCATCTCTCAATTCATATATCAAGCTTTCCTAAAGGGTCTCATAGTTGAGTATGAACATGGCCATTCTCACGAGATTGGTCGAAGCCTTTTCTTACATCGATTAATCATAACCCGAATCAATCAATTTGGTCCATATACCAATTGTCCATGCAAAAAGGGTCTCATGGTTCGGAGTATGATCACATATTCTCACGAGATTAATGAAGTATAGCCCTTGATTAATCATAACCCGATTAAACTCCCTTGATCCATGCACCAAACATTCCAATTATTTGGTGGTTACTTTTGCCGTGATTTTGCGATCGATTGTTAACGCAACCTGGATAAGCTTGATTTTTGGTTCATCAATGGTAAGATTCGCAAGCTTTTGAGTTCGAGTCTTTGAAGCAAGTTAAGAACGTGATCCTTATCGAGGAAGTTCAAGGAAGCTATCAGTAGAGTTTTCTTATATCGCGTGCATTGAAGAGGCAACAAACCTTCTCCGTTAGGTATCACCGTAGCTCTCTTTATGCCTCATTCTCACATCATTTTTTATAATTAATGTGCCATGAGAAATATGATAGAGATGCATGATGGGAAGTCTTACCTTTGTAGACATGTTTGATTGTTTAATTGTTATCTCTTCTTCTACTTGACTACTTGTTTAGGTGTGTTTACCTATGTGCATGTTCTTTCTTCTTTAATTGCTTTTCTAAGTAGTTTTTTTTAGGTATCTTATCTAACTACCTTACATCTTGAGTAAGTCTCTACTTCTCATGTGTGATTGTCTAATCCCTATCTTTTCTTTTATCTCCCACCTTGATGACACAATATCATTGTTAGGAGTTTATTACTTGATATTTTGTCATCTCTTTCTCTTCTCCTACCTTGATGATACAATATCAAGTTTAGGAATTTATTATCTGATGTTTTGTCATCTCTTTTATATCCTACTTTGATGACATGATATTATTGATAGGTGTTGATGTTTTATCATCTCTTTTCATCTCATTTCCCAAGCTTCTTTGATCCTTGGTTAAGCACTCCATTACTAACCAACACGGTGATATAAAGAAAAGCAGTATTTTCTTTTCTACTTGTGTGTTGAACATCATTGTCTAATGATTGCTTCATGAGTTTTTGTGCCATGTCCTATGAATTTATCTTGATGTTGGCTACTGCCCATAACATCTAAGAACATTAACTTTGATTTATCTAAATCATAATGCTTGTATGCATCAAGGGACTATACTCCGCCATATATCATGACACTTGAGTATGATATTTTGTTGACATTTCTTGAGTCTTTAAGTTCATGATTGATGTCTTGTGAGGGTTTTATCATTACCCCATGACATATAAGATGTCATTGCACCCCTACTTGATCTTTATCAACCTCATTAGATTTAAGACAAGTATTATCCATCATTAGATGATTTTGTTCATCAACTAGGTGACTTTTCTTGTGTATGAAATTTCATCTTCTTACTTGGTTACTCTTGAGTCTCATCTTGAGGTAACTTACTATACAAGTCACACATTGCATAATTCTTCAATTATGCTTTTTCTTCTTTTAATTTTTATTTATTAAATTGAACATTGTTTGCTTGTCTCCTTTAACCATGTCCTTTGTATGCTTTGTATGTTCTCTTTACCCCATGTCTTGTGTGTTTGTATGTGTAGCCATTTTACTCGTTGATGTTTTATCATCCATACATGATATTTTGTCATTTTTATATATGTTTTATCTTCCTCATATCTTAACTTTAGGTCCACAAGCATGACAACTTATAGGATTGAGATCCCATTTTGTTAGTCTTTTCTCTTTTGTATCCTTTTAAGACTAAAACTTCTTTTTTTTTCAAATTTCTAAAATACTCTAAATGGCAAAAATTATTTTTCAAGGTAAAAAATATCAACCAATGTAAACCTTTTGTCTTCGAACTTTTCTTTTAAAACCTTTTAAAAAAGGACATGCTTCGCTAACATCGTTCATAAAAACATACAACTCACAAACTTTTGAGGTGAACTACGAGTGTCTTGATCCCCATTGCACGGTCTGTAGTACGTAGACACAAAGATTGACAACCGCGCAGACACAACTAATAAAAGCTTTCTTCTTGTATATACTTTGCATGCATTCCCTTAGCTTTAGACTTTGCAGGTATTACCACATACGTGAGGGGAGCTAATACCTTCCCCTCGCGACAACGACTTCCTTACTCTTTTTCTCTTGGCCGTGAGACCATAGTCCTTTCCTTCCCTCAGGTTTACTCAGTGTTTCCTTTCCCTCTCTTAGGTTAAATAACATTGATGGCGACTCTTCTGTCTTTTCGCCTCCGTTCGCGCTTCGATGAAAATCCCAAACACGACAGTTTCCTCTCACCGAACATGGCAATGAACACTTCTCCCCAATCAGGATTCATAAACCTTTCCAAAGCTTTTCCATACGCTTCATGTGAAATGTCTTCCATCTCATCCAGAACACTTACACACTTAGTAAGAGAGCAATCTGATGTTACATGTGAAGTAGTCTCTACACTCCTATCCCTATACCTTCATGTAGATCATCGTCTAAACTATCATTATCAATACGTACATGACGTGCACTCCCATTGTTAAGGTATTGATTGTCAAGCTCATTTTCTTCATCTATATTTAGTGGGTCTTAAGTAGATGAATGATGAAGTATTCCAATTGGATTATTTTTGTTGAATATGATTTCCAACGACTTATAATGATTACACCCTTTATTTTGAAATTGAGAAGCTTTGTCATGTACCTAAAATCAGTTGCAAATAGATTAGCAACTTTCCAAATATTATAACTAGATTTAACAGTAAATGCATTGTGATCAAATTGTTAAATAAACAATAAAATGTGGCATTAGAGTTTCAGCTCTGCGCAAAATATTTGAATAAATTGGTTCAAAATCACATGGTTAATTTGTTTTTGTAAAGATCACTATTAAATAAGGAATTCTTTCATTTATCAAATTTGGAAGTTGTTGTCTATTAACTAGATCAGCAACCAAATCTACTAGTGAAGTTGCAGCAAGACAGTTAACCATATCAGCAACAATCAGGACACATGATTTACTAGAAGATCAGCTACACCAATCAAATAAACTAAAGGAGATTATGTATCACACACAACCAACTAGATCAACAACAATTGAGTCATACTGAGGCTAAATCAATATTAAAAAGAAATGTCATAATTCAACAGGTCCAAGACATCATGAAAAAGGTCCTGAATGTGCCTATGAACCAAGATCAAGAATTGTCTAAGTTAGAGGACAATCAAAATTTAACTCATATTCCAACAAGTCAAGGAAGCAGAAGACAAGATACTTCAAGCAACAAGAATGGATTATTGCAGAATAAACAAAAAAATGTTAAGTATAGGAAATTAAACAACAATTGAGTAAGAATGAGACTGCTAATTCATTAAGGATTCCTAATGGAAATGTGACAGGGATCCAACAACAGATGATTGAGAATGGTATGGATATCTAATAACAACTGAGTAATAATGGAACTCTTGGTGAAAATGGGACAGTGATACAACAAAAAGAGACCTCACACAACATTTATACACATCAGGAAATGATTGAGGGCGGGTCTTTGCTTAATACATTTGCAACAAACCAATACATGTTTCACAAATAGACCAAAACAATTTATGATTTTAATATCGTGTAGTTTCTTTTATTTTTTAAATTAAAATATATAAGCTGACAGGCTGCTAAATTCTGTTCAAATCCACAAATTCAAGAAAAACAAAAACTTCAACACACATATATAATATAACTTGAGAGACGTGCACCCCTCTAAAATATGAATTAACGAATGCTTCTCTAACTAACCAATCATCAATATCATTTTTTTCTTTTGGACATTTCTAAACCTTGTTTAATAATTAATCATCTCGATTCTCAACAACTTAAAACTTTATATGGCAACAACATTTCTTTTGTGATTCTTGTCTCATTAAAAGTTGTTGACTTCACCAGCTGTCTAACATTATATGGATAGATGGACTAGTTTTGTAGTAGTGTACATATTTTTATACTAGTTTCCATTACTTTACGTGGTATAACAAAAAGAGTCTTGGTGCTTCGTGATTGACCAAACATTTTCTTCTTTACTTAAACAAGTAAAGCATTTTATATTATTATAAATGATGTTGTGAGAAAGATAAACATAGTTGAAAGATGTAGAGTTAGAAAAATGAGTATTTATTCCATTAGCATTAGAAAAATGACTAAACAATAGTGATGTTTTTTCATATTATTAATGTAGTGAATCATACTAAGCACAAGTTTTAGAAAATGTGGAATTAAAGAAATATTTGGCCAAGTTAAATATTTGTCACAAAGATATTATCAATACATATTGTAATAAGTTATTAGTTTTTCAATAAGTTTATCTTTCTTCTTAGACATTTCATTTCTTCATATAAGTTTATTGTTCTAACTACATTATTTCGTGTTCAACTTTAGTGAGGATTGTATTTCATATTGTTATTAGAAGCCAAATTTCCTCGATAACCAAAAAATAATAATAAATTTTTTTACCACTCTACAATTGACTCTGATACAAATGGTTAGGAGTCGCAGCGGAAATTTGGCTTCTAATAACAATATGAAATACAACCCTCACTAAAGTTGAATACGAAATAATGTAGTTAGAACAATAAACTTATATAAAGAAATGAAATGTCTAAGAAGAAATATGAACTTATTGAAAAACTAATAACTTGTTACAATATGTATTGATAATATCTGTTGTGACAAACATGTTTCATTTTATAGTAATCCATATACTATAAAATGAGTAAATTACATTACAGACAAGTATAAGCCATTGCCTACCTATTATTACTCCCTATTTTTACTGGAGTGTATTGTATTGCATTAACCACATGTAATCTTTCCATACTTAGCTTTGCTAAATATTCCTTTAATTATTAAAGGAATATTTAGCAAAGCTAAGTATGGAAAGATTACATGTGGTTAATGCAATACAATACACTCCAGTAAAAATAGGGAGTAATAATGTAATTTACTCATTTTATAGTATATGGATTACTATAAAATGAAACATGTTTGTCACAACAGATATTATCTATACATATTGTAACAAGTTATTAGTTTTTCAATAAGTTCATATTTCTTCTTAGACATTTCATTTCTTTACATAAGTTTATTGTTCTAACTACATTATTTCGTGTTCAACTTTAGTAGGGGTTGTATTTCATATTGTTACAACTGTCATAACTACTTCTAGAGAAATCTTGTTTTATCATGAAAGAATCAAATCGCTTGTACCATTGTCTAGGAGATTGTTTCAACCCGTAAAGTGATTTTCTCAAGCGACATACCTGACTCTCTTTACCCTCAACCTTGTAACCCTCAGGTTGATACATATATATTTCTTCATCTAAGTCTCCATGCAAGAAGGCTGTCTTCACGTCTAGTTGTTGAAAGGTTTGGAATGAAAGGTGCTAAGTCGGTGGTTACTCCATTAGCTCCACATTTTAGGCTTTCTGGTAATCAGTCTCCCACTACTGCAGAAGATAAGGCAAACATGGAAAATGTACCTTATGCTAGTGCAGTTGGCAGTTTGATGTACGCTATGGTGTGTATACGTCCGGATATTTCACAAGTGGTAAGTGTTGTTAGTAGATTCATGGCGAATCCGGGAAAGGCACACTGGGAAGCGGTGAAATGGATTTTGAGGTACTTAAAGGGTACCATTGACACATGTGTGTTTTGGTGGAGATACATGTCAAATAAGCGGGTTTGTTGATTCGGATTATGCTGGTGATCTAGATAGACGACGGTCTACAACTGGTTATGTGTTTCAAATACACGGTGCTCCAGTTAGTTGGCGATCGATGTTACAGTCTACCGTGGCACTCTCTACTACGGAAGCCGAGTACATGGCAGTAGCAGAAGGAGTAAAGGAAACATTGTGGCTGAGGGGTCTTCTAGGTGATTTGGGTGTTAAGCAAGAACATGTGAGACTGATGTGTGATAGTCAAAGTGCAATTCATTTGGCTAAGAATCAGGTTCATCATGCTCGAACCAAGCATATCGATGTAAGGTATCACTTTGTACGGGATGTCGTAGAGGAAGGTCATATTTCTCTTACGAAGGTACATATTGATGAGAACCCAGCTGACATGTTAACCAAGATTGTGTCAGGTTGCAAGTTCTAACACTGATTGAACTCGTTAGACATTATCCCATATTCGTCCAAAATTTGAATATTTCAAATTATGAACGAGGTGGAATTAAAGGAATATTTAGCAAAGCTAAATATGGAAAGATTACATGTGGTTAATGCAATACAATACACTCCACTAAAAATAGGGAACAACAACTTATACTTGTCTCTAATGTAATTCAATCATTTTATAGCATATGGATTACTATAAAATGAAGTATGTTTGTCACAACAGATATTATCAATACATATTGTAACAAGTTATTAGTTTTTCAATAAGTTCATCTTTCTTCTTAAACATTTCATTTCTTCGTATAAGTTTATTGTTCTAACTACATTATTTCGTGTTCAACTTTAGTGAGAGTTGTATTTCATATTGTTATTAGAAGCCAAATTTCCGCTGCGACTCTAACAGAAAACGTGATATCAATTTTAATATCCTATGAACTCTATCAATTTCTATACTGTTACCAATAACCTATGAAGGCTTAACTTTAGCTTGTGTAATTATATGTAAGGAATAGAGGCAGAGTGCATGGAACCATTTACATGCAGTGATCAGGACTACATATGTAAAGGATAGCAGCAAATATTCATTTTCTGTTGTCATTGTGGACATCATTTGAGCTGTAAACAATTAAGAATTGGAATCATTCTATCTAAAAGTTAAAATAGCTATAGACGAAACATTCAATAGCAATATACCTTAAGATAATTTCTCCAGACCTCTTCACTTGCAGTAACTGTATTTGTTTCTGGGTTCCACCCAAATCCAGTATTTTGCAAGAGTGAATAGAACTCACGGTACATGTTCCGCAACCTATGCATTTTTGCCTTCAGTTGTCCAATTTTAAATGATCGATTAGTTGTGCAACTCAACCTAGTAGTCATAGAAGTCCATATTCTATTATGAAACACACCGTTTGGCATATTTTCTTTTGTAACTTCATCAACCATAATGTCAATGAAAGCTTTAGTTACAAAATCAGGCCAAAGCTTCGAATCACTAATGTCAACATTAGTTGCCATCTATCATAAAAATAAACAACTTAGGAAATCTAGATGAGTCACACATCATCATTATCAAGAATAAAAAAGCATAGGCTTGTTTATTTACACATTCCAAACTTAAAGATGGTCCATTCGAGTGGATGTGAGGTATGTTACCTGTGCAGCAATGGTAGGCGCACCAGCAGCAATAGGCGCAACTGAGGAAGAGGCATGTGCAACTGAGGAAGAGGCAGGCCTGGTCGAGGAGGAACCTGCTGCAGCAAAATGGGGATGATAGCTATTGTTCTTCATGTTTTCTCAAAATCTCAAACCTAATTAGAAACACTCACATCAAAATCAATATTTTTCATCAGATTTCTGAACAATAAACAATTTCAAATTTTAAAGCAATCTTTATGATACTACGACAATTCAACAAGAAGGAAATCAGAAACAACAACTTTGAAAAAAAATGGACACAATATGCCATATAATCCATGTTAACCTAACAATTCACAAATATTTGGGAATAAATCTTACAAATACTTACCTAGCAAATCAGAATCTCAAGAAGATGGAGTTCTTGGATGAAATCAGACTAGAAAATCGCAAGCACGGTGGTCTTGATGAAATCAAGAAACCGCATATTCTAGGTTTGAATCGCAAATCCCATGTTCAAAATTGAAATCGCAGAGCTAGGCTTCATCTTGCATCTTCGTATTTTTGTTGGATTTTGAATTCGTGAAAGTGAAAACGAGAACGTGATTGAAATTAATTTGAATTTAATTATAAAAAAAAATATTAATTAATTACTTATTTTTTAACCGTTACAAATTGATTGAGGAATATTACATGTTTAGGTTAGGTGTGTAAAATGATAAATAGTTATTTTTAGAATCGGTTACTTTTTATATAAAATTTGAAGGTCAATGACACAACTATTGATTTTTATTATTGGTTTTAAGAATGAAAGAATAATAACACAAATTAACCAAGCGATGTTTTTTTTTGCATGGTGACAACTTGGAAATTATTCTGATGTGGAGAAATGGAGTATATAATAGATGATGTGGCAAATTAATAGTTTGTGAGTTAATAATTATAAATAGAATAGAAGATTTTGTTTTTAGTCACTTAAATTTTTTTTTTTATTCGTTCTTTGAAGTTTTTTATTTTTACTTTTGTTCCCTTCGTTTATTTAGAGAGATAAATAGTATTTTTTTTGTATTTATTAAACGCCGATTAGATAGACATTTGGAAGTCATTAAATGCTTTTAGTATTTTATTGTTTTAATCGTTAATTAAAATATGGGAAATAAAAATATAAAATAAATTATTTTAAAATTTTTTTGTTGGATTATCATAGAGATCATCTACATTGAGTCAAGAACAATACGCAAGTGAAATAAACACGACATATTCATCAAAAACCTTAAATTCAACCTCCACTATTCAAAGCAACGTGAGACTAACAACTCACACTTGTACACAACAATCTTCTCCCTCAAGTGTGAGTCCATCCAAGCTCTTTTCCCCCCCTCAAGTGTGAGTCCATCCACTATGCACGGAAACTGACACGTCACCTGACCACAACCATGTCAGGAAGACTTCGATACAAGGAGCTGGTCCCTTAATTGAACCATCAACTTTGATATCACTGTTAGATCATTATGGGGAGCATCCACATTGGGTCAAGAACAACACATAAGTGAAAGAGACACTACATATTCACCCAAAATCTTAAGGTGATAGATGTATGAGTCTTCTCACTTATAAAGTGCTCAACCTCCACTATTCCAAGCAATGTGGGACTAACAACTCACACTTGTACACAATAACTTTTTCGTCCAAATTGTTTTCAACACATAATTTTGATTTCTATTCCTTTCGGAGCTCGAAGCGACTATCACCATAAACTCCCAAATTTGTTTTGAGATAGAAACTCCAATGCATTGAATACTAAAATCCTAAATTTTGTTGAGATTTATGCACATTGGAAGTTGCAGTTTTTCATAGGGGTGATAAAACAGGTTTGAGCCGCCGATCAGTTTTTCACGGGATTGACCAAGGTTTTATGTTCACACTTTCTAATACGCTTGCCCCGATTTCCCATTTTTTTCGTGCTTTTGCGGGAGTATGCATTAATATAAATATTTGTAATTTTAGGCGTTATAGGTGCAGTACCCGTGGGCCCCCTCTCTCCCTCAGTTTCTTTCGCGGGATGGACCAAAGTTTTAGGCTTACACCCGCAATAATGCTTACCCCGCCCGCCCTATTTTTTATTGATTTTTGTGGGACGAGTCTAAATTGGGGCAGACATGCCTGTTGGCCACCTAGTTCGTGATACCATTGAAGCCTTAAGTAGAAAGTGGTGGTCTCTCAAGTTGTTGAGGGCATTGAAAGCTACGATTTGTTGAAACATTAAGAAGCATAAAATATTCATTTTGGAGTTCAAATTGGTCCTACATGTCCTTAAATTTGTTGTACATGCCATATTATAGTATATATTATTTTTCATGAAATTTGTTGCGTATTTGATTAGGTGTCTTACATGAGAGTCGTATTTGACTGTAACTTACATTTCACTTATTATATTGTACTACATTGCCTTTATATACAATATTTGAACTACATTCTTTAATTTGTTTAAATGACATGAGTATATTTAAAGTCATATTTTACACTAAGGGTTGTTTTGTCAATAGAAAGGTAGTGAGGTCTATACATTTAATTTTCAAAATTCAAACATTTGGCCATATTTGAAGCGCGTGGCCTAATTAAAGGAATGAACTTGATGTTTTAAGAAAATGGTGTGAAACTTTGATAGAAATATGCGAGTGGTAGTTTGGAATAAGGCCTAAAGGCATTTAGAAATGATGGTAATGCATGTGAAATGTCAAAATTTTCTAAAGACAACTAGTGTGATGTAGAAATATACATTGAACTCAAAAGATTTATAGGTAATTCAAAATTTATCGACTAGGTCAGAGACAAAAATAAGGGAAACAATGTATTTGTTTAAGATACTCATCACATGAGTGATGGTACATCAGAGGAATCTAGTGATGAATTTGTCAAAGGTACACACTTTCTGGATTGTGAGGAAGACAAGATGAATGTATTTGACGAGGGGTTCGCTAAGGGTTTGAGGATGTTTCCACATTTGGCGCATATGCAAGTAAAACTAGTATGGCAACTAATGCTGACAGTGTTGTGACCACAAATGAACCACCATCATGTGAATTTATTACATTAAAGATGGGAAAGGAATATGATATACAAGATGGGTACATCACTGATGAACTTGACAGTGGTGTAAATGATGATATTAATAAAGATATACATAATATAATTAGGTTTAATGAAAATGATGTCATCAATAACAATTTTAATATCAAGATTGGAATGATTTTCTCACCGAGGCGGTTAAAAGAAGCTATACTTAAGCATAATGTGTTGAAAAACGAGGAAGTTAGATTTTCAAAAAATAATGCAAAAAGGTGTAGGGTTGTACACAAGCATGAGAAGAGGTTTGCCTACATTATGTTGTATAGTAAGGTGGTAAAAGTAATTGTTGAGAAGTTGAGAAGCATGAGAAACACAATTTTATGATATAATTTTTGTATTAAAAAACTTCATCAACAAAAATGCCAAGGCACGTTAGGTGGCAAATGTAATTGTTGAGAAGTTGAAGAAAAATACAAAAATGGAGTTATCGGAGGCGATGTGATATGTTAGGGTGGGATATACAATTGAGATCATTAGTTGTAGGGCATTTAAGGCTAGGAAACTTGCTAGAGAAGTGTTTTAGGGGGAATCTAGCAAGCAATATATTTTACTATAGTCATATGGTGTTGAGTTAAGGAAAGCTTCACTTGAAAATACTTTCAATTTAAATATTGAGTGTTCTAATCCAAGTTTGTAACCAAGGTTTGGAAGGTTTTATACTTGTTTTGATGGATGTAAGAAGACTTTGACAAGGGCATGTAGACCATTCATAAGATTAAATGGATGTCATATTAAGAAAAAAATACTATTGATTGATGATGGAGATATCCATATGACCAATACCGTAAGAACGATATTTGGTTCTGCATCTGGCTTTTAGTTTTGATGATAACAATATATTGTTTCTTAGAGAACAATTTATAGCCTAATGGTTTTGTATAGTGTGTAGCTGTTTACTAACAGGTTATGACTCTGAAGAACAATCTTAACCAGAAAAATTATATGGTATTTTAATATGGAATCTATGATGCCAAAGTAAGGAGCGGACTCACACAATAAACAAAAAAAATAGAAATTTTAAAAGGAGGAAAAAACGTATCGCACCCATCCATCATAATGACACTATTTGAACATGGAAAGAACAAAATCTACATATGAAAAAATTGTGTCGCACAAAAGGTAACACATTGCAATATTTCACTACTAGAAATATCACACCCTCCCACAAAATAAGAGCAATACATTAACTATTATCACATAACTGACACGTGAGACACATCACAAAAATCGTGATGCACCTTGAAGGCGTGGCGTCAATTTTCTGCAAGAATATGATTTTTATATAATTTGTGCATTTAGCCATAGGTTTCCAAATTTTATGATCAAAGAGACACTTCTAATCATTAGAGTAGAGGATAAGGCAATAAATCATTAAATATTTATCCTTAATTGTTTTTAAGGTTTAATTATTCTCTTAAAATTATATTGACCATGGATTCCTTATGAATGAATGACTAGTTTTCCTAGATTAAATCCCCTTAGATGAATATTTTCCCAGTAATGTTAACCATGAAATCCATATAAATTTTCTCTCTATAATGATGAAATTATTATAGCTATTCAATAATATATCGTGTTTAATATTTTTTCCGTCTACGTAATTTGGGGGATCAATCTTGATATAAATTAAGAAGTTACCATAGATTTTACTCTCACAGTTAGATATTATAGAGAGGAGTTTTTTATCTCTATACATAAGGAATACTTGGTCATGACATATGTATATTATGATCGATCAAACCTTTTTCGAATGAGATTTCTTCCAAGACATTAAAGAATTGTAATTAGACGAGGAATGTTACACGACGAGAAATTATGCATAATTATTTTGTAAACTAATTGTTATATAATAAGAATCATTATGTGTTCAAGCATGGATTAACCACATGAAAAGAGCAAAGGATTCAAATATGGGTTTAATTGTCTCCCTTATTAGAAATTTCAATCGTTAGCCTAGCTTAGCTAATTTTAAAATTATTTGTACAACCAACCTAATCCGGCTACCCCCCCCCCCCCCCCCCCCC